CTGGGGAATAGAAATACAGCCGTCAGCACCTTTGCAGCGCCCTCTTCAATGTATGGTGCAGACTTTGCTGCCCTCCTGCCCACACCCACCCTTCTTTTTGTGCGTGCGCCTATGGTTAAAGGCTCAAAGGTGAAGCAGTGAATTGGTTTATATTGTTGCGTGAAGGCACAAGGGAAACTAGGCGTTTTAAAATATATTTACACAGCGCCAACGCGCAAGCCAAGATGGCGAACAAGAGAGAGCGCGCGCACACACAAGTCACCTCGTCTTCCTCAGCGCCTATCTCACTGTTTAAGTGGGGCATTGTCTCGTAACAATATTGATCGGTTGCCCTCTGATGTCGTTAATTTCACTATCGCAACGCTTCTCCTTCGTTCAATAAGTAAAAATAATAAAGGCGAAATAACAATTGAGCATTCCCAAACCATACCCAATTGCACCACATTCATGCGATACCTCCGTTACACTACGACGCATTTACTCGATTTCCCCCGTTTTTGTTCTGTATTTTCGCGACATTGGCCGAGCGAAATTTCCAGTAACTTGGTGCGGTTCCGCGGTGAGCAGTGCACTTTTGCTGATAGACGCCGTCAAAATCTGTGATGTCAGACAGTCCAGTGGAGCGTCGTAACACGTTTTTTTTCTGTTTTTCTTTTTTATTCGTTCTTTTTGTTTTGTTATATTTTGTTCATATTTATTTGTTCCGCATTTTCTCACAGCAAGATTGGTGTTTATGGTGTCGTGAAGGAAAAGATTTTCAATATGCAGAAAAATATATTTTTTAATTTCTTTATTGTTCCCTTAATGTATTATTTTCCAACAGCCGTGTTATGTCCTCATTCATTCAACTTTGCATGCATGTTTTGTTAAATGAGAATTGATCTAGGTTTTCAATTTTGTTATGTCTTGGTAGCGAGCTAAACCTTGCACTACACGCGAGAATCACTTGCATGCGCAATTGCAAAGGCTGCATTGAGCACGTGAACTTTGCTCATACACAGTAGCCTTGTTGTATATAGATGTTCATGTAAATTGCCCCCCCCCCCCTTTTTTTTTAAAACTTATTGCAGGCCCTTGGGGCACCTTATTTATTTCACCCAGGACGTAGAGGAAGCCTGCTGAAAACCTTGTACATTGTATGTAGAGAATGGTAGAAACGGTATGCAGTCCACCTTAATAAGCCGGAAGTGCGAGATTTTCGCCACAAGTCACATCTATTGTCCTCCCTAAACTCACTCTCTAGAGAGATTACTTTCGGAATTAAGAAAAAATTTAGGTTAAAGAGATTATAACCATTTGCAGTGCCTGAAAAATCCATTTTCGACAAAAACAGAGTTATCCGTCACAAATTGATCATTCGATCACAACTCACATTGCACTTTTTGGATGGAAACATGAGGGATGTGCATGTCATGCTTCACTGAGAAGAAACATGAAGGAGCCACAACTTTTTTTTTTAATACTATTACCGTAAGGCAGGGGTCGGCAGCTTGTGGGCCGCTTGCAGCCCACGTGGCAATATTATGCCGCCCCCACCACAGCCTTTACCCTCCCCCCACCCTCTTTCTCTGGCCACTTCCTGTATCTGAAAGCTGACATAGCCGTTTTGACAAAAAAAAAGTATTTGCGCTTGTAACCTATGTTTGATTGCAACTTTCTGAGAACCGTGCTTAAAATGCACGTGATATCCAACCCAGTTTTACAAATCAGTGTCAGTTTGCTGAATGTAATCGCTTTGCCAGCACACCACCCCCCTCCCCCCCTCTGATTTTTCGTCCGGGCCCCACTGTGTAGGTTTCATGCATTGTCCCTCGGTCTGAAAAGGCCGCCGAGCCCAGCTGTAAGAGATTGAAACAACGATATCAACAAGCTTCTGTGTAAGCTTTAGAGATTGTAGGCCCGTGTGCTCAGATTTTGGTGCACGTTAAAGAACCCCAGGTGGTCGAAATTTCTGGAGCCCTCCACTACGGCGTCTCTCATAATCATATGGTGGTTTTGGGACGTTAAACCCCACATATCAATCAAGCTTTAGAGATTGTCAGCAGGTTTTCAGCAAACAGTAACGGGCATGTAATGGCAATGAAATCATGAGTAAAACGTGTTGGCTGCCCTGCCCTCAATGTAGCCATGAAGATTATTTCGGGGTAATGTAATTGATGTACACTATGGTCGATTCAGACCGTACACTTGGTCGATTGATGTACACCGTCGATTCAGACCGGAACACGAAAATTCAATGGAGTAACGCGAATTTGACTCTGCGCACTTTCGATCGAGGTCGTTTCTTTGTCTCTATTTGCGGAAAATGCAGAAGCGAACCGATTGCAGATCATTATCGCCGCTCGATCGCACTCGAAAGTGCCTGTATAAGACTGCGCTAAAGTGCGTGGCTTAGGTTTATTACTTGGAGTTGGCGATGAGAGCCCGTACTATACGATCGCAGCGAAGAACTTCTCCCGCCTCCCAGGCCGTTCACTGGCGACAAACCGCCCCCATCGGAACGCGACCGGGAACCACGAACCTGGGTGTGTCGGTAGAGCGCCTCCTCTCTGGTCGGTAGAACGCTCGAACGATTCGAATACTCGAAATTTTCGAATTACGAATCGAGTAGTGTTATTCGGCACTCGATTCGAATAGCGAATTTTCTATTCTAACTGAATATTTCTTCCTACATTTTCTGAGTAACCGGCACCGAGGGGAAAACCCCCGAAAGAGCAACGTGTTAAAACAGCGAAGGATCATTTTTGCTGTTTTAGTTATTGATTTACGAAGGTACCTGCGGGTCAAGCTTTTTACGGGATCGTCAAAGCTGTGCTCGTCACCGGATGTATAGGAATTCTCGCTTTAAGCTCTTGTGTCGCCGAAACGGCTATGTTCATTCGTGGAATATTATTTAACGTTTATGCTTTAGTTTTAATTAAAAACTGGTGACAAAAGCACCACCGCAGAATACCGAAGTAGATGCTGTATCAAATTTACACTTCTAGTTCAAGAAGATATTACGAAGACTTAAGTCATTCATTACCAACATGAACTTACTTCATTTTACATAATTGTGGTGTCTTTTCTTGGATAAGTAAATGTAACTGTAATGTTACTTTGTCAAAGTTTGCGAATGTTTCTTCGAAATGAAAGGCTGTAGAGTTCTAGGCCTGTCATGAACATGGTTGCCTTACTCTTCAAAAACGATTCGAATAGCGTTCGATACCTATCAGATTCTAAATTTCACTATGCACATTTAGCTAACCTTGGGTACGCTGCAGGAGTGGTGCAAGAGAAGGATGTTACAGCGCCGCATCTTTCTTTTTTCGTCTCCCACGCCCAGGTGGTTCGTTATCCCCAACGTCCTCTGTTGTGCTTACGCGGAGGCTGCGGATGCGTGCAATGGTTAACTCTCGTCCCAAGAAGCGAAACGAGAGTCTTTGTGGGCGCCTGCTATCTAAGCTCGTTATTATTATTATTTTTCCCCTGACTGGCTTGCAATGCCCTGACTACACGTGAGCATATGTGCGAGCTGCCGAAAAAAAGAAGCGGAGAAAACGTCCTCTCTGCGATTGTACTTCGTCGTACTTGTCGCCACATGTGTCGGCAGTGTTTCCGAAGCACATGTGTTCCGCATTTCGTTTAAATTTATCCTTAGCTCCACGCGCCTTCTGCATCCATATGTGGGCGCCCAGGGCAGGTACGAGATAACAAGGGGCGGAAAAGCAGTACCTTCAGCGTTCGGTGTCTCAAACGTTTCGAGCCTGTAACGGAAGTGGACGTTCGTTTCGCACCGTCCTTAACTAATGGTTCCGCGTCGCTGACGAGCACGGGCCAAAGTGAACGGCCAAGGTGGCGGCGATAGCGTAATGGGAAGGGGGCCAACAACCCCGGGAAAAGGGCGACTGCAGTGCGCCGCTTGTTTCCCCACCATGTGTGGGAATAGCGGGACACCTTTCTTTAGTTTCCCGCTGTCGTTGCCGGCGGAGATGGGTGTACTGCATTGTCACTGCCTGCCGACATCTGACCGAGTGCCCCACAGCGGTTCATGAAAAAAAGAAAAAGAGTGTTTTCAATCACTGCACCGACTCCAGGCTGCGGAAGGATTACGGGCACGCATTGTGGGTGGTCTGCTTTAAATCGCGGCACCAGCGAGCTGCGTTTTCACTTTTCTTAATTTTTTTACGCGAGCACCGTCGTCCCTGCTGTTTCTTTAAATGTCTGTCTGTTTTCCATAACCGACAAACAACGTTACCTGTGGCAGGAAAGGCCCGAGTATTCGGTTATTGGCTCACGTAGCCGTCGACCTCGCGCTGCCCGTACGCTCGCAAGCTGATTGGTCGTGTGCGTCCGCCCGCTGCAATCGCAGACGGCGAAAAACTGGGAGGAAGGAGAAGCGGGAAGGCGTTTCGTATGAGCGCCTGAGACAGCTTGGTCGGCTCTCTACCCCCTACATCCTGTTTTCTTTTTACATCTTCCAGGCATCGGTCGGTTCGCCCAGCGGCCAAAGAAGCTGCCGCGGTTGCGCGTGCCATGTTTTGCCAAACGTGCTCTCTTCAGAGTCCGTCTGCTGCAACCGAGGCGTTGGAAGCTACACGAAGTTTTTGGGGAGCCCTCTCCTGTTTCCGTTCTTTCTTTTGTTGTTTCCGTCGCCACGCTACGCACGCTGGCGTCGGCACGAAAAGCAAGATGGAAAGCGCCCTCGGTGCCCCAGGCACGTTCGTCCGATGAGCCCGCCTCCCTCCGGCCGTCGCTTCTTCCCGTAGACTTTATAATTAGAGCCAGCAGCGCCAACTCGCGCTACGCCAACGCTGCGCACTTGGTGGTGAAGAAAGTAAACAAGAGGTTTGCCCCTCCTTGCCAAAGCTATCTGTTGCTCTTCGCACCACCATAGCTCGTGGCGCAGCGACGTGCACCGCTTCCCTGCCGTGCACCCTCTCTCCTCTCTTTTGCATAGCGGGACAAAGTTCAGAGTTCTTCGCGTTGTTGCTATTGCTGCTGCGCGCGGTGGCCCCTCCCTGCTGTGGACTCTCCTCCTTGGTGCTTAAGAAGGAATGAAGAAAAAAAAAAGCCGAATGAGAGACGCGTTTAAAGAAAAGGGAATGTGGCGATGCTGAGTTCAGAACTTTAGTCGGACACGGGCTGGCACGCGCGCACACGTCAAAGCCGCCAAGTCCTCTCTGTCCCGGGGATCAGCGAAGAAATTAGGTCCTCTTCCATGTTTGCCGACGGCGAAGCTTCGGCTCCGGACGTGCCCATGGTGTACCAGCGGCATTATCAGACGCCCGTGGCCTCCACCGCGGCGACGACTGCGTACGAGCGCTGCTGCGTCTCAGCCGCGGTCTTGATGCGCCGCCCGCCGTATCCCGAAGTCGCCACGTCGGCCTTCTACCCGCTGGAAGACGTGCCGCTGTCCTCGCTGGCCGATCACCATCATCGCCCTTCGTACTCAGTGTACGACCGCAGTTACGTCGACGCCCCGCCTTCTTCGTTCCTGTACGGCGCTGCCGCTTACGACTGCGTGTACGGCGACTGTCCGGACTGCGCGGAGGTTGGCTACCCGCCTGCGGCCGCAAGTAGTTGCTCAACCGCCGGCAGCGGCGACGCCAAGTCTTCCGCCTGCGCGTTGCAGACGTCGCCCGCCATGTCGCGGCGCAGCATGGTTCGCAAGCGGAGTCTCTCGCAGGCTGAGCTGGAGAGGCGCAGGTCCTTGGCGAACCACCAGGAACGCCGTCGCATGCACCGACTCAACTCGGCGCTGGATCGACTCCGGAGCACGATACCGCCGCGCCTGCAGAACGGCAGTCGCCGCCTGTCCAAGATCAAGACGCTCAAGATGGCCATCAACTACATCCTCGAACTGAAGACCGTGCTGGGCCCGACGACCGTCCCTGGAGTTGGCGGTGGTTGTGCGCCGGCCTCCCCTTCCTGGAACTGAACGATACGCGCATTTATTTTTTTCTCATCGTGCAGTGTCACGTACCGACGGTCGTGCATGCCAGCCAGCTATGCGTGGAACGAGCGGTGAGGTGGCGGCCTTTTGAAGATTGTGATAGTGTGATTGCCGCAGTGGAGAGTCTTGCGAGTGTGTGTTTATTTAGCTAGCTGCGATGCTTGCTTGCTTCTCCAGTATTGTTACAAGGCCGTTTGACGAAGGCCACTTTGCAAGCGACTCATTTCGTAGCGACTTCCATAAATACAATTACATTTTTTCCCTCATCTCGTGATGCTGTCTTCAGCGTTCCTGATTGTCATTGTGATATTAGGTTCCTTGTCGTCGAATAAGCCTTATTTGTGGGACGAGACATGAGAAAGCAGCGGCACGGGGCATAGACATGAGAAAGCAGCGGCAGTATATCAGTGTTGACTTAGGTGAGTGGCATCGTTATTTAGCGTTTACTTCTTACCGTCTTGAGTGTTTCTTTTGAGCTATACAGCCGATATAATTCAGGCTCTTTATAGCTTACGAGCGCGTGGTTAACTCGTCAGAGTAGGCTGCTCTAAAATACGCCTCAGATTGATTCAATTTGTATTCATGAGCAGGCAAAAATAAATTAAATGTGCCAACATTTATTCATAATCAAGCTTAATCTAGCTAGTCGCTATTCTTCTGTTTTTCGGGACGAATGTGTCGTATCGCTCGCGCTGTCCTCACGCCTGTCATTTTAACAACGTCTGTGCGCTGTCTAAGTGTGACATTCAGCAGTAGCGTGTAAGCCCAATGATCCCATAAAAAATGAAGTTCAAAAAAAACGAATGGAATACATATTTGATAGCTTGATATGCAGTTTTTGCGACTGTCGCCGAACTTTCAAAGTTCTGTTTATATACACTCGGTAACGATAAAGTAATCTTCGAAGCGCCCTCGTGCATGTAATTCTTGATTAAGTTAACTACCTTCAAAGCAAGCGTTAACTTCGCGAAATATAAAAATAAACATTTCTTTGTGATTTCTAGTTACCTTGCTGCACATCGTATGTTACTAAGTGTGGCTAATAAAATTGATAATGAGGCCAATTTAGACCGAATTCAGAGGAGGACATACCATCAGTTTAGAGTCATTCAAAATCACCGATGCTCAAAAAGATGTTTTGTTCAAAGAGTAAAACGAAATAACCACATTTTTTACCACAAGCATAACACCGTTTGTCTAAAAATTGCTTGAATCTTCCAAATGAACTTCAGGCGGATGTCCCTTGCAAAGTAACGGGCTCAAGTTTGTACACATGCAGCTGGTTAATTAGTAAAAAAAAAATGGAATCATGAAGTTTGTTTGCTCGTAACTTGCGCATTTTAATTGCCGGGGTCCGCTGTCTCCCAGCGCAATCAGCAGGTTCGTGCCCTATGCCAAAAGAACAGGCGTGTTTAGTCACGGTTCAACACACAAAATTTCTAGTTATTTTTAAAGACAATCGGGGAGTGTGAGAAATAATCACATTTTGCTTATACCACCAAAGCTTATATTATGTTCTTAATTCCACAGTACAATACGGTTAGCACGGACAATGAGATCTTTGCCACATGTCCTCTCCAATATTCTGAGTTTAGAACCGGCTGTCGAAATCCGTTCGTTACATTCTTGCACATGAATGGAAAATTTCGTTATCGGAACCAGAATGGCGAACCACAATTTCAAACCGCGATCGCAAACCAGGAAGAAGATAATTTCACGAAACGATGCCCGCGGCATCAGAGTTCCTGCAATATTTGGGTACGGAAAAGGGTCTATTGTTTCACGCCACGTAGAACTATATATTCACCTTGTGAACGCATGAGTTTGTAATTATAGAAATTGCAAGCGTGTGAAATGATTGTCGCAGTCTTTTGTGAATGACCATGTGCTATGAATTTGCCGTGCGTTGGCGGTGAAAAGTTTCGCGGCCGGACACGCTTGTATGCAAGAGAAATTGCTTAACTGCATCATAACTAATCCAAGGGTTAACGCAGTTCGTGGCATGCACATGTATACATTCGCATTGTGTTCATCACCTGTGTCGTATAATATTCCGCTCAACGTCCATCAGTTCGTGACTTTTGTTCTTCATAAGAATGGTTTGCGCATACTCGAACTCGATAAGACTGTATTTGAGTTCCGTTCATGCGGTAGCCTGTAGCCTGTAGCCTGTAGGTTTCTTTATATTTTTTTCGATGTATGCGTTGTGATTATGATAAGGGCATTTTTCCTTTCTCTCTTTTGTTTAGTTTATCTTTACCGTACGTGCCAGTGAAACTTGTGAATTGTCCCTTTTTAGTTCGCTTGTTTTCTTGTGGAGCAATAAAAGCTTCTAACATATCGATGGCTTTCTAGATCACTTTAGACGACACGACGCCCTGGCTTAGCTGTGCTTGCGGAATGGACGCCTTTGACCGCTATGAATGAATGGTGGTGTATGCACGTCGCGTTAGCCGGTACATTAGTTTTAATATGTAAGTAATATGCGTATTGTAAGGTCGCGGATTCGATACCACGCCGCCGCACTCGCATTTTGCCCCGCCGCGGTGGTCTAGTGGCTAAGGTACTCGGCTGCTGACCCGCAGGTCGCGGGTTCGAATCCCGGCTCCGGCGGCTGCATTTCCGATGGAGGCGGAAATGTTGTAGGCCCGTGTGCTCATATTTGGGTGCACGTTAAAGAACCCCAGGTGGTCGAAATTTCCGGAGCCCTCCACTACGGCGTCTCTCATAATCATATGGTGGTTTTGGGACGTTAAACCCCACATATCAGTCAATCAATCAATCAATCAAGCGCTCGCATTTTGCTGATGGCGCAACGCAAAAAAGCTGCGGCGTATGTCCTTCGATAACTCCACAACGGGCGAATCATTTTAGCTACTCAGTCGCGGCAGATTCACAAAACGGATCAAATTCTGCAGAGCAGCTTGGCGTAACAACCACAATCACTTGCGCCGCCTGTCGCTTGTCTTAGCAAATTACGTTGCGGGGCTACATTGTGATTTCACATTTTTCTTCATATCCAGCGCTAAGTTTTGCGACACACACAGAGAGAGTTCGAGTAGCGCGGGTCCTCTCAAGACGAAAAAAGAGAAGTTGCTTATCCGCTTCGTTTTTGTGTGTGTATATATATATATATATATATATATATATATATATATATATATATAATTAAGAATGAAGGAGCTCACTTACGAAAATTTGATAATTGTTTACTCTACGTTTCGGCCGTGGCACGGCCTTCGTCAGGATATATATATATATATATATGACGTCATTGTGTGGCGCCTCAGTCATTAGCCGTCGTGTGAATAACCTATAACTAGAGCTCAGTGTTTTCGGATAAATTAAAAAAAATGAAGCACTCGCCTGTAAAATGTTTTTCAGTCCGGATTTGTCCAATAAACTCCGATTTTAAAAGGGTATTTTCAACGTTCAAAGTGCTTTTTCAGAGCTGACAACTTCATCAGTCGAAAAAAAAAAAAAAGAGCGCACCTTTGTCATCGGCAGTAACCATGTAAAGTATGCTTGCGTCATTTACAACAAGCTTTAACGTTAATGAGAACTGACAGACATTGATGCCGAGTAAAGAATAGGGGATATTATTGGAAGTAATTGTAACGTGATTGTGAAAAAGGAAAAGTGGACGTAAAGGTAGCTTGCCGTGCACGTATAGGAACTGAACGTGTGACCTTCGAATTCGCGCACCTGACTTAGCCGTGAGCAGGAACCCAACCTGCGACCTTCGAATAACGCGTTGAGGTCGGACGCGTTATTGGAAGGTCGCAGGTTCGGTTTCTGTCCACGGCAAGTTATCTTTTCATCCACTTTTCTTTCTTCACACTTACATTACAATTGATTCTAATAATATCCCCTATACTTTCCTTGGCATAATTGTATGTCATTTCCCATTAATATTGTTTCTTACTAAAAAAACGAGCCCTTAAACTTACTTTTTTTCCCCTTTCAGGCATTAAGGCTGCAGTACGAGCAAAGGTTGAGTGTTTTCGATTCAAGTATATGTGCGTGCGTGTTTGCGTATTCAGACCATGCAGAGATGCAAAATACAGTTAGTGTGTTCGCATGCTGTCGTGTTTAGACGTCATTTTAAGTGAGATTTCGGGGTATTTAAAATGATGATGAAAATAAGTCCATTAATTTTGATCAACAATAGGAGGCAGCCTGGGAGGAAAAGCAGATAAGCAGCTTGACTATTGTCACCTTCCCCCACCAAAAAAAAAAAAAACTCTGAAAACTCGGAGGCCCGCTTATGACGCCGGTGTCAACAACTGAGTCACGCCACTGCAACGCGTATTGATCTCCTGTTCGTGGTCCAGTTTACATAAGCCTACAAGCTCACGCTGCTGCTGTAACAATGACGCACGCGCGTAGCCAGCACGCACAGCGTTACTAACCCGCGGCACCGCGAAACCCTTCCCACTTGCAGTCACGCCGCCGCAAGTGTTGTTCAGGCCGGAAGCGACCTTGCCGACAAGCTGGAAGAGAGGCTCACCCAATTTGGACAACGTACGTCGCCGCTGTGCGCACTCTGCTGTGTCACATCTCTGTCCTGATCATCAGCATTCGGCCCGGGAACTCAGGCTTCCTTCCACCAGCATGCAGCATGCATCCCGGCGCTGTATATTCCCGTTTGTGTGTACTCGTGAGGTCGAGTTATGTAGTGTTTTGAAGGAGCGCGCACAGAAAATGAGGACCTCCCTTCACCCCCCGAATCACCTAATAGGTAAGGTGGAGGGGGGGGGGGGTAAAATTCGCCCTATACATTGACTTCCCAAAGTCTGGAGGGGAATTCTGAGCACGGGGAATCTTGTGCGTCACGTAGCGGTGCATATCACAGCTATTAGTACAGTTACATTCACGTTTGCGTGACGATAATGATTATTGAGAGTTAAGTTGGTTAAGCTTGCAAAATACTAACTAAAATCACAGCATATCCACGTACTGAATCATGACGGGCTAAGCGTCCGTCCATCCGTCCGTCTGTCTGTCTGTCTGTCTGTCTGTCTGTCTGTCTGTCTGTCTGTCTGTCTGTCTGTCTGTCTGTCTGTCTGTCTGTGGATATGTTGTGCTGAGTTATCCGGAGGGATGAACTGCCCTAGACCTTAGAGCTTCGCCCCTGAAATGCTTAGCAGCACTAAACGATGGAAACGGAAAAAAAAAAGTAGTATGAAAATGGACTGCAACAGCAGCTTTCCATGCATGTGGAAGTACAAAATGAGGTTATATATAAGCGCGGGTCTGATTCACTAACATTGTAGCCGTATTCCGATGGGGCGTGACATGCGAGGATGGCTTGCGCTAAAACATTTACTATTAACCGAGCTTTCAGTGCACTCTTTCTTTTTAATTCTCCCGAGGTTCACTAGGAAACCGGTGACTTGCTTCGGATGCAGTAACGATATACGGGACCTGAAAACACGCATACACAACCTTATGGATGTGCCTTTGGAAGCTTGAGTTTCATTGTCTTGGCAATTTTATGGCGTCGGAACAAGCAGTACACCATTAAGCACGCACCTGGGGCGCGCGCGTTTCTTCACTCGAGGTGTGCTTGCTCTTTTGAACGTGGTCGTCAAGCCTTCTTGTACGTAGTTTTTTTTCCCGACCTGCACAAAGTTGTATTGAGATTGATGAACGAAAGAAAGAGTCGCTCAATGTTTTAATGTGTCTGTTTTGTCTTTCACCCTCCAGGTATGAAGATTAACAGGAACCGGTGATGATGGCGAACGCCCGCGCCATTTTCAGAAGGACCAACGTGAACCGGCCCTTCGTCACTATGCATTTGAAGACTGGCATGCAACTGGAATGTCGTCCCATTGCAGATATCTTCGCCTTGAATCTGAATCAACTTCGCTTTTCTGTTTTATACCTCAGTTTCACTTTTTCTTTTGCTTTTTTGCTTTCCTAGCTCTCTCCCTTCTTTCTGATATTTATTTATATATATATTTTTTTGCAATGCTCTCGCACAGTCCATTGCCACTCTGATCTCTGGCACAATTTTGTTGACCGCGTCTTTGTAAATTTTTATGCTCCGGTGCTCGCCATGCAAACATCATAGAGTCAAAAGTGAACACTTGGCAGAAATCAACATCGATAGAGTGCTTTTGGTGCAGCTGATGTATGTGTACAGACGTCGCATATATTTATACGAACCTAAGACAGCACGGGCGAGTGATCAACGACGCTGTAACAACGAATAATGCAAATGAATAAAGTTGAGCTTTTTTACTAGATTTCCGACTTGCGTGTTGCTTCAGAGCAAACTTTTATTACCGAGCAATTAAACGCATGTTTGTTGAGAAAAGCGGCGAGTTCACAAACTCCCAGGTGATCCGTTGAATAGCGCATCTCAGCTACAACTCAAACCGACACCCATTCAGAAGCATGCGTGCCAGCCCCAGCTAACTGTCATCGTCAGCAAACAATCAAAAGCATACGTGGAGACTAGACAAGGCTGCTCCCATGTCGGAATTGGGAGGCCATGCATCTCCACTCTTTCACGGGCCCTCTGGAAGGCTGTTGACTGCCAGGTATTCAGTGCTGTACTTAAGATGGTGTCTTCCCAGTCCTGTTCACTGATGTCTGACGTGTCTCGTAACGCTGGACAGTGCCTGAGCGCTGGACAGTGCCTGGACAGTGTCCACAATCTGGGTAATGTGAATGAATATCTCGGTTCATCCGGCAAAGGGCGTAAGTGGATTTTTTTTTTTTTTTCGTGGGAAGGGGGCGAGGTTGCTTCTTTAGTGGCAGATGTAGTCGAGTGTAATTTTGTGCTCATATCTCGTGTAAAAAATAAAATAAAATCAGGAGGAGGGGGTGGGGGGGGGGGGGAGGAGTCCGCGGTTTCACACCCCATGGCTACGCCACTGAATCCTGCTTACGTACCCTCGCGAGGGATATATGACCTCGTCTATGATTGGTGCGCTTTGGATTGCTGCTCATGGCCCGGTAATATTAATAATTGCAGCGTAACACATCCGCACACGAAGTGTTGGGAACGAACAAGTTGGTTATTCGCACGCGCATTACCCTTGAGGGTGCTCGAACGATCCGCAACACGTAAGCTCCCACGCTTTTAGCCGGGCCGCTGTTGCCATACTTCTGCATCGATTCGGGTGCATTTTGATACTTCGAGATATGCGTACGCTTCGTCTATGTTCGCTTAGATCGTCTTCATAATGCGCACTTCCCTGCGCTGCATACTCGCCCAACTAATGGCCGCACCAGCCGGGTTCGTAGTGGAAGCGTGGTCCTGGCAACACGCGCTGGGACTTGTCCTCTATGCGTGCTCGCACCAAGAGAGCTGCGTCTACATTCTCCGCGTCAAACTGCGCCTTTCCACGCTGTTCGCAGAAGTGACTGTCCCCCATTAGTTCGGCTAACCGCATCGCGGGAAAAATGGCTTTACCGTCACAAAAGTGGTCTATTTACCAAATGCGGCAATTCGACTCGATGTTCGAACTCTTCAGCTCTTCGCACACCGCTGAAAAACCTTCGTGCATCCGCGCTTTTTTTTTTCTTTCTTTTTTCCCGTGCGACGTAAGGGCCTTCGTGTTTGGTCCACAATGAAGTGTTCCGAAGAAGGAAAGGAAGAAAGAGAAGCTCTGACGTGAGCTCGATTGGTCCACGTGCGCGGCTGCGCCGTGCAGGCACGCTTAACTCGTCTTCGTCTCACGTGCACAGACAAGCTCTCGCAATTCTCTCCTGCGCATGCTTTCGGCAAAGGCCTGAAAACGGAGAGAGACGTGCAGAGTGTCTGTCTGGGTGCGTAAAGAGTTAAGAGGGAAGGCAGAGATCTCTCCTTTTGTACTTACACGCGGTGTCGGGTTTCGTCGGGACGTGCTCCAGACGCCGAGGAAGGGCGACCTCGCCTAAGAACCGCTTCAGTCCCAAGTCTACCCTCCCGGCATCATTCGCATAAAAAACAGCGCCAATAACGAGGGACAAGAGAAAGGAGGAGACAGACAGCAACCACGTTAGCTCCCGGCATCGCTGCCCCACGCTTTCCAGGCATTAACTAAAACGAAGCTTTCGCAGAGTTCGTGTGCATGCGGCGATTCAGATGTTTAGCATAGCCGACGAAACTAAGCGTACAGCCAAGTTCTTCGAGGGAGAATAATGGCAGCTAAGCGAGAGGATTGCGAGCCCATTTTCTGCGAACATGAAATATATAATAGAATTGTAAGCTGCACGGGATATTTTGCCCATTTATAACGAATGGTGCAGCATGTGGGCTCCTCTGCACAACGCCGAAGCATTCAGCGCTGAATGCACACAGGATGCAAGAAACGCCGCTATTTCCATTAGGTTGAGGCATATTCTTCCGATGGTGGAATCTTCGGTGACAGATTGAGGGGTAAGCTACCATTCGGGCAAAGTGTATGACTGCTAAAAGCGCTGTCTATCGATCGTGCAGCATTATTTCTCCCACTTCAATGTTCCGGGGCGATGCGCCTTCGGGTGCCGACTCCCGTTCACTTATGATAACTGCAGCATAACGGTGCTATGAGGCAAAAAAAAAAAAAAAAATCAGACTTCATGGTAAAAAAAATAGTAATAAATAAACCAAACATGTCGAACGAAATCACATTGACAAATAACAGATCATCGCGCCTAGCCTTGTTTGTATGTTGCCTTTTGCTGTACTGCCGAACTCTCTGACAGTGATACCGACGTTTTAACAATATAGAGGTTATAACGAATAATTGCTGCGCCATGAAACAATGTGTTTCAGTGGTTCAAATAACCCGCTTATAACAATGCCCGCATTATTGGTTTTAACTAACTTCTGGATTTTGGCTGTCTGCGCCGAAAGAGAGCGCGAAATTTCGGAAAAGAAAGAAATTCAAACTGCTGAATCCCCCGCCCACAATCCAAGTATCTACCAGCGCACCTTGCAGATACTCGGTATGCTTTACCGCATAGCGACGCAGTATTGCTACAAAGCTGACTTTTGAAATCCGCTACGACGAGGGAGTGTTGACATGCAGTTCGAGTAAAAGTTGATACTTGGGGAAGCGTTCCGGCGTCTTAAACTTGAGACGTTGTCATACATTGGTTCTATGGGACTTGAGGCGGTCCCGTAAAAGCGTACGAATTTTCAAGCATGGCCCTGAAATCGGCTTATCTTATACTATATTAAAGCTTTCTCACAACAGCCCGCCATCCCCATTTTTTGTTGTGCGACCCATTCGTAGCAATTACGGTTATAACAGTGAAATATTTGTAGCACACTATTTTAATAAGTGGGTTCAACTGTATTAGCTGGCGTATTCACCGGTTTTACGTGGTCATGCGACTTTATAATAAAATGCACTCAGTTTAGACATGCTTTTCAATTGTCTCAACAAAATCACGACGACTTGGTTGCGACGTATTTCATTCCTGTAACCGTCTCCTTTATATTTGCCCAGTTGTTTCTTCCATGTGTTTGACCAAATTTATTCTTTTATTTCTCTATATTGCCAATATACAACAGGCACAAGTTAATGCTTGAGGGACAATGATCAAAGTGTTTTTCAGTGCATTTGGCATCCAACCCTTTTCAGCAAGGTCGATCAACTGCATTTGTAGGGAGTGCTGGCAAAGCAGAGCTCTGCAGCTCAGACTCCGGTGACCCACAATGAAGAATAACCTCTATGCAAGTTTTGGTGATGAAAAGAAATTAATTGTGCACATTTAACTGGACTGTTCATAGGCTAACATATGAATATGGTCAACATGCTATTATTGCATTCACAAATTATTTTATGCCTTTTTACCAGAATACTACTGAATAATAGTGGGACTTTGAACTGATTACAACACTGCCAGTCATTGGAAAAAATTAAATGTTAAATTATATTAACGAATAAATGTAATATCTAAACTCTTTTTTTCTTTTCATGTAACAATGTTATAGGTTCTCTTTGAAGACGGTAACATGTGAAATTTACCCACACATTCAAACGACCGTCTTGCAAATTGTCTCTGGAAATGATACACCTCGATATCTGAAATTCGTAACTTCAATAGCTCTTTAAAAAACCTTGTCAAGTAATCCACAACAAAATCAAAAATAAAATAAATGAAAAACACTACTATTTACTGAAGTAAAGGACATACCACCTATTGCGCTTCTGTAGAAACAGCTACTTTTCAACGAATTATTCTGAGGCACAAACACAACAGGACAACTACTCCATTTCCTTTATTAGAGTTGCCGCTTATCCACTATGTGGAAGTGGCTCTCTCTGGAAGAAGTCTTCATCAGTGAATTTAAATATGCACATGAAACCATGCTCATGGCTGCCTAACTAACAATATTTTCCAAAAACTGTGGCGGGTTGAGCGGCTCTCCACTGCAGGTGCTGCTGCACAGAATTAGTCCTTCACACACACCGAGTGCGCAGCCTGTTTGCATTCACTGGTACTGTGAACTGGTGCCGAACGGTGATGCTCCTAGTTGTGATGGGTCTTCCATTTGTGGATTCACTGCAACAAAGGAAATGACATACATGGGTTAGCCATCTTGTCACGACTGTGGTGATAATGAACACCAGTGAAACAAAGCTTTTTTTTTTTGAAATTTATAAAATAAGTGAGACAGTTTTACAATTGTCCTTTGAAACTGATGATCCAAAATGAAGCCACATGTATGCTAACAAATTAAAAAAATATGTCTGAGTTATTCAAAGGTTGCATGTTCAGTCCTTGCTGGTGGCAAGTTATCTTTTCGTTCACTTGTCTTTCTTATTTACCTTACAATTACTTCTAATCATCGTTATCAGCCCGACTACGCCCACTGCAGGGCAAAGGCCTCTCCCATGACCCGCCAATCGACCCGGTCTAGTGCTTTCTGCTGCCACACGCTATACCTGATAAATTTTTAATCTCATAGGTCCATCCAAATTTTTGTCTTCCTTTCGTGCATTTGCCTTCTCTGGGAATCCAGTCGGTTACTCTTAGTGACCAGCGGTTATCCTGCCTAGAAGCCATGTGCCTGGCCCATGTCCATTTCTTTTTCTTGATTTCAACTATGATATCCTTAACCCCCGTTTGTTCCCTGACCCACTCTGCTTTCTTCTTGTCTCTTAAGGTTACGCCTTTCCATCGCTCGCTGCGTCGTCATCCTCAAATTAACCTAAACCTTTTTGTAAGCCTCCAGGTTTCTGCTCCGTAAGTACCGGCAAGATGCTATCGTTATATGCCTTCCTCTTAGGTGTTAGTGACCGATTACCATTAACGATTTGAGAATGCTTGCCGAATGTAATCCACCCTATCCTTATTATTCTAGTTATTTCACTCTTATGGTTCGGCCCTGTGGTTACCATCTGTCCTAATCAGACATATTTCTTTACAGGTTTCAGCGTCTCTCCACCATCCCATATACTTTCTTTGACATCATTTTCTGTTAGTTCTCATTTGTGTCTAATTGAAAAAATGAAACAAAAAAAACGAGGCCTTAGATTTCTACTTGTTTTCTTCAAACCAAAAAGTTGAAAGTTATGTAGTTGCATTACAGTTGTATTCAAGCTCTGTAGCATGACTGTAATTTGCCAATACCGAGCGATTTCAGCCTTCATGCAATGCAAGACCAAACATATTGACCTCCAGCAACATGCTTTTGCTGCTATATTCATATTATTTCATCCCACATTACAATATTTCATTTTTAAGACAGAGGGAGCTTACCAGGCTTGAACTGCTCTGCAGAGTACCGTGTAAACAATATTCCTACACCTTCGATGAGCGCCAATAAAACACCCCCTGTAAACAAGGTACACACAATTAGGGGCTGAATACAGGGCACCTACTCATACACTACAGCAAATCCATAAACTGCCGAGAGGATTCTGCAAACACACACAGATGTTGACTCGATATCTTTGTGAATTAATTTATACAGAAATGCTGCCGACGCACTGCGCGCTGCTAACATCAATGAGTGGAGGTGCCAGGACTACCACAAAGCTTTTTTTTAGCATGTGAATTGAATAAAGCACAGTTAAATGAGTAAATGTGGCACAATTCACCAGTGAACATGAACTTACCTATAACCGCTGATCCTACCATTGCTCCTGCACCATCTGTAGGAAAGGTGCAACAAAAACCTGTCAGTGCATAGAGACACCCGCTTGAAAAATATGTTAGAAGCTGCAGGTAATGTGCTTTTAAGGCTTAACTAAATTTTTTGTAGAGTGATATGTGGTGGTACAACATGACTTGTCTTACTGCAAGCATGCATCGACTATGAAATGGCATAATCATGTACTAGCACATTGAGAAACTGTATAAACAAAGCATGACAGATGCCCTTTGTACAAAGTCACAAATCAGCAAATTATAATAATCCAATGAAAAATGGTCACCATTAAAATTAAAACAATGTGCATCCAGAAACATGGTGTCACCGCTATCATGTCTTTTTGAGCTAGCACAATGGGAAGATGCCCTTGTGGTATCACATAAAAACTCCATGTACTGCAACCAGTTTCTTGCAAGTTTAAAAAAGAAAAAACCTTGGACTGTGCTTTAGTATGTGCTTTCATCTTTTAACAGCAACACGGATATTAGCTGCGTCACCTTCATTGCATGCTAATCAGTTACGTGGAGCAACTAGCTGATGGAATGTAAACAACCACACCAGCCTAATAGTGGCACTGTACACAATGGATGCATTTTTTAAATACGATAAAATAAAACATTTAAGAGCAGACATAATGTGTAGCTACATACATGCAAATTTATTTTAAGGTGTGCTTTTTAGAATTCCAATGCATACTCTTTTGAGTTCAGACAATTTTTTGTACCGTTGTGATTTCTAGTGACCTGCAATTGGTAAGTGTGAAACGGGTGCTGTGGTTTCAGTCACAACATTGCAGGGCAAGCATATTTAAAAAAAATGGCTTGATCCTTACTTCTGACGGCCAAGATCGCTCCAGTGAGAGCACCGCTTGTGATGGAATTCCACGGATCTTCTTTCTTGCGAATCTTTACCATAGTGCAGTCTATTGTTGAGAACAGGCCACCCCACACTGCAAAGTTTCCTGCACACACAGCACACGATTTATTGTTAATTATCAGCAACAAGTACCATTATTCAATCTTAGCTTCTTCTTGCAACAAAAAAAAAAAAAAAACAGGATTTAAGCTTTATGCTTAAATCCTGTTTTTTTTTTTTTTTGCAAAAAGAAGCTAATGACCCGCTTATCACAACTGGAAAGCTTTTTTTTTGAGCATGTGATGGTTAATTGTTTGGAAAGGATTTTATATCAACCAGTTGCAGTTTCAGTGAGCGTCAAGTCAGACGGGAGTCAGAGTCATTTTCGTGTAAACATAGCTGGCTATGCAAGCACACAATGCAACTTGCAACCACGTGTACAGCTCTTTTCGACGCAGGCTCCCTCCAGGACATGAATATGTGTGACCCCCAAAAATGCACTGTGCAACAAGTAAATAACCTTTAGCATTCCTACGTAAGCCTGGCCATCTTTGTATTGAAAAGGCTTGCTAGAAGAAAATGCCTGGGCTGTCTTCTTTCTGTGTTCCCTGTGTTATCAGTGCTACAGCTTCACTGAGCGCTAGTGAGGATCGCGCAAGCCAACACAAACTCACAATGCAGGTGGTAGAGTAGGTTGTTTACACGGAAACCAAAAGGTGCATTTTGCAGGCAGTTTCGCAACACGCACTTTGAAATTGATTTAAATATGTTCTGGGCTACATTATCCGTTCATATTTCGCAGATGCTGCGTGTATGCCCATGCAAATCTATCCTACAAGTTACATCTCGCTTTCAAAATTTTGTGTCAGTATTTCTTCAATACCAAATATTGCTTTTTTAAGCAAATACAAAGGAATGTGGCAAATATGTAAAAATTGCCTAAATACTTCATTTTTTTACAAGAGTCAAAACAATTATAGAAAGGTTGCTTTTTTCTCACCTCCTATGATGGGAGCTCTCTCCTTGATTGCGCCTAGGCTGCCGAGAAGTCTGCGGTTCACGCCCTTAAAAAAATTTGGCATTATTTTATAAGAATGCAAGTCAACGCACACAAGAGAGAAATGCATACTATATGCTAATTCACTGGATTCCAGTTTCTTCAGCTTTCAAGGTATATTACAAGAGAGAAAAAAAAAAGGAAGCCGTGCTAAAGCTATCACTAAAGGTAATTGTGCTATATACGATCAGTCTACTTAGTGCGATTATATGTAAGTTTATTTAACAACTTCTTGTTCAGAACATATTAAACTTCATTGTGCATTAGGAGCCAGTAATAATATGCTTCCTACAGAAGATGCCAAGAGCAATCTGCTGAAACAGCAACAAGTAAGTGCATGTTTGTACGGAAGTAGCACAAATTCAACCTGCATAGCAACCTTCAGGTGCAAAACTCTTCACCTTGACGTCAGTGGTAAATTATATATATATTTTTTCTCTTTTCTCCTGTGATATTTATGAAGTCAAGGAAGCAGGTTGCTTCAGTGACCGGTGTTACAATGCTGATGGATAATTTATAAATGGTATGCATTTTTGCAGACACACAATGAATACACCTCATGGACCTGGTAAATTGGCATCGCCACTAAGTGAGTATTATAGGTAAAGGGTAGCAAAGATGAATAGTGGATAACGACTGGCATCCTGACTCACCGATGGTGCGTTTCTGAAGCCCTTTATGCTTTGAAATACAGCCCCACCTATGGCACCCATGGTGAAGGCACCACCGCAGTCATCTACAATGCGCCATGGGCTGGAAGAGAAAAAACACAGCGTGTACCCAAATATCTCAACACCTGAGCTAATTTTATCATGTTGGTCATCTTACTGTGGCTGGAAATTGAACCTACAACCTTCTGCTCTACCGAAGATAATTGCATAACAAAACCGACTGCACGGTTGACACCCCATTCACTCGGACGCAGCAAAAAAAAAAGTGGTATTGAATTGACATGCATGTGCACTAACAATGCAGGGTGGTGCAAATATGCCACATCAAGTAGAAACTGCCCTGGCACAAGCCCAAAGTATAGTCTGCTACATAAAATGCTTGAGAGCAAAAGCAAGTAGACTTCTAAGAACTCGTGAATATGGATGGGCGTCAAACCGTTGGCTGTTTGTGGATCCTTACAGTAGTGTGAGAATCATGGTGAATATCTAAATGTCCAGGATGAAAACAATGTGAAAACTGTCTAGCCTAACTTAAAAAATTAAGTATTTCAAAACTTTTACACAAAACAACAAGTAGACTGGAGAGTGAAAGTGGAACATAATACAGTTGACTTGAATATTTTTTTTAACACGAAAGTGTTTTATGTCTGGGTCCACCAAGATTTCAGTGATCGCAAAAATGACATTTATAAATAACACAACCAGAAGGCAAAGAAAAAAAAAATCCGTCAATGAGAGTCGCACCCATGACCTCTGTGGACATCAACACCTGCTGGGCAAGCCATCCACTGCCCCACATTGACAAGCTTAGCAGATTTTAAAAACACGCCTTCTATATCTACCGCTGCAATCTAACAGTACTCTTGGCAAAGTGCGATAATGCATCATGGCCATGGAATCCATGATTAATTCCTTTAACGTGCCATTTCTAGCGTCCATATAGGAGAAGTGCAATTTCGCCAACAGCTTAAATCACTGCCAAGAGGCGACTTTACCCAAAGCGTGGACGCGGCTGATAGCATTCATCCATGCCAAAAATAATTCTGCAACGCACAGAGAAACTCGTGTGTTTGACTTGGATGTAACTGCTTGTTCCCAACTTACGCTTGCTAAGTTAGAAATTGTGGGCGACCAACAGCAAAGACAGAATGTGTGTTGCATTTCCCTCTAATTGAGCAGTGGCATTCAATAACTCTTACATGCCGCAAGTAGGCGACCTTAGCCCAAGTTTGGCGCACAATCAGTCACGCTCTTTTTCCTGCCACAGCGCTTTCTTTGGTGCTTCTCTCACCATTAGCTACTACAGCTACCACAAGCATCCATGACCACAAAGGCATGTTTAATCATTAATCAGCCACTAATCATGAATGTTAGTCATCGGGTAACAGATGCATCACTAAGTGTCAGATGTACGCATTTACGAAAAACAGTGCTTTAACTGTCAAATGCCAACATACATTGTATAAGCTTTCTTGTATTAATGTACCCTCTCAGAAGACAATCTACTTTCATGTTATACCGATTCCTATGACGGAGGGGTCAATCATGTGTTTTTTGCCCATTCCTTGCTTTCTCGGCAAAATAGTGCTAATATGCTCAATCAATTAGTTCACCAGACAGTTTTTGTAAGCTTAAGAGTTCACCACACCCAAAAGTATCCCTCAGGCTAGTATTGCATTTGTCTTTCTTTCTTCGGGTTTTCGTTAGCGAACTTTGCCACAAGAAAATGTATTACCAACTTGTTCAGCAAACCATTCTTCTAGATTATGAAAGAGGCAGTAGTAGGCAAGGTTATATTTCCCATGCCCAACGAAAGTACGACAAACTAGGGTTTCCGCATTACCCTGTTACCGCGGATGGGGATCGAACCTACGACCTCGTGCTCAACCACAGAATGCTCAGCCACCTCGGTGGGTCCAGTCGGATACTTCGTCTATAACTTTGATATTGAGTTATACACCATCGCGCTGATCTGTATCTGACAATCAAAATGCTTTTGTTATGACGGACTATATCTTAATTTCATGATGAGGCTGAAAGGAACAAATGAACGATAACTAGAACAAGACAGAGAAGTCAAACTTCTTTTCTCTTGCACATGAGGCAACCACACTGAAACCACGAGCCAATACAAAGGCATGCCTTTGTCTTTATGTATGTTTTTCATTGCCTGTAAGGGGATCAAAGCCAGCGACGACATACTTCAGCTGGTTCTGAGACAGGGCTATTGATCCAACTTTCGACCTTGACAGGTAGCGGTCGCTTCCGGAGCCTAATGCCAAGTGTTTGCGGTAACAACTGCTCAAACGCATTTCCGGCGTAAGGGTCGACTTAACTGAATCGCATAATATAAGCCGCGAGAACATTCACAGCTAACCACAACTATCAGTTAATCCGCAATGCGCACCAACAATCAGCCCAGCTTTCAGTGAAACGACAAGACAGCTTTCAGCTTAAAGGCTAGCCATAGCCCGTAAATTTTGCTGAGAGGAATATGCAAAACTACTGATCATTTACGAATGACTTTTAACCGCAGTGCCTCAACATCTCACAGCTTTCAATGATGCAATAGCGGCTTCTCGCTTAAGCTGAGAAATAATCGACACTTAGCACAGATTCCACTGCGGTTGGTCATAGCGACGCATTGAAGCATCTCGAATTCCGGTGAATAATTTTCGGCGCCTTTCGGGAGTTAAATAACGCAGAAAATAGAAAATTACCATGGTTCACGTGCGTATTCTTCCATGTTGTTTTCAGAGGAGGAGAGAAGGAACCATGGAAGGAACAGAGGAGGAGGATACGACAATGTAGCCAGAGGCTTGTGCGTTTGTGCACAAGGCTGCCGCTAAAACTATTCGAACACACACAAAAATTTCTGCAAAAGTACAGTGACGTAGACCTATTTTGCTGACTTAGAGCTTACATTTAGGTATTACATAAGAAACTGTTTAGTACATTTTAAATTATTTTACAAATTGTTCTGAGTGCAGCCATGATGAACCGTTAACCTTCGTTTTTTTTGTATCTTACCTTTAACAACAAAATAAACAACGTTACAGTCGACGAATATGCATGAAAACAATTGAGTTTGTGCAAACAATGTTTTATGTTCTCTTTATTCACGTCATGTTATCCAAAAACAAGCAAACTTCGGCTTCACAGCCAAGCATGGCGGCGCTCAGACGTTTTACGAAAAACCGTTTGTTATCGTCATTGTCAAAACGTCAGTTAAATAAATGTTTAAAAGGCACGCGCGCGCGGTCACGCAGTGTTCGAATTCTTTGCGTAAAAACTGACAGATATTTTAGCTCTTAAACAAGCGTGGACGGTTTGCTTTATGACTAGATTTGCTTGGTTTATTATCGGAAGCCTCTAAAAGTTGTGAGAGGTAAGTGCATTCTGCCTGTGTCATCGGCTTACTGACTGTAGCGGCGCTTTTCAGCCGAATTTCAGTTACCCATGGCCAGTTTCAGTCGCCTTTCGTAAATAATGGCTGTGTGCTGCTGCTTTTTGCCATCGTTTTCTTGATATTGCCGTATCTCATGAACACTGCATACTAGAGGTACCGTGTGAAGTCGTTGCTGCTGCGAGAGGTTTCTCACGTCTAAAGTATTCCGCCTTCGGTGTGTGGGAGGGGTGGTGGTTTGTTGCCTCTGCACACAATCCCGGGCTCTGAGTGTTTGCTCTTGTTCTTGTAATGCCTTGTGAAGCTTGGTCCCCGAATTCGGTTAAGCTGAATTCGTTATAACTTAACTTGCTTCAGCTGTCATCGTGCTAATAGTTCTTGGGGGAAGGATGGTGCAGAATGCACCGTAAGTTGACAGTCAAAAAAGTATAAGCGAGCGTTTTTTATATATATATAAGGTTCAATGTGTATGTACAAACGTTCGTGGTTTCCTTTGTTGACTTGTGTGCGTGGCTTTTGCAAGTACTGAGTGTTGCGTGGTACGTAATGCTTTGAACTGGTACAGCAGTTTCACTCGTCATTATCGTTTTTCAGCAGAAATGTAATATAGGCCCCGTCTGTCACAACTGCCACTTACACTGCATTTTTTCAACACTGTGAAAGCGAAACTAGTTCATTGTTTACCAGGTTCGTTGTTGCGAATGTTGGTTATTTCTCTAGCATACCCTCTCTTTAGATTAGATTTATGTTACTTACAATTTTTACTATTGTAACCCGCCTGGTTACATGTATTACCCGATGATGGCACATGCAGTGACGCAGTCAAGCACCTGCTTATTTATTTAAACCTCGTATGTCTCCGAAAAAAAAGAAAAATGCCCAGCAGAAAATTTTTTTTTCTGCCACACTGTTCATGATAGCTCGATAGGTGAGGTATTTAAAAAACTGGGCATGCAAACACTTGCACAAGAAGTCGAAGCACCACAATTGCGAAATTTAATGTTTTGCGCAGGCCCAGGAATGAAGGAATGGGTACGGCATATCGATAATAGTAGTGGAGCGCCTGTGAGTAGATGATTAACTTGCATAAAAAAGTAATCAAATGTCTTAACCGTTGCCTTTCACGTAGACCCTCCACGCATGCTGATTGATAGGTTTGCCTGCTGCCTGGGCATGCTCAGATCAAATTTCTTGCCATCTTACTTTTCTGCCGTTATGCACCTTTGCAGTTTTAGCGGCGTTCGTGGTGTCCTGGTTTCTTCGAATTTGTGTTTGCATGCTCAATCTTTTAGAATGAATACTTGACAGCTAGCTCAACCCTCTGTTATTCACTTCTCATTGTTAAGCTCTAAGACGTGGCTTTCATTCCAAGCAACTGCAGTGAGAAAAGTGTTTTGTCCTAACTTTAATAAGAATAAAATGTAAAAGCTCCTTTATGCTAGGATTTAGGTGCACATTTGAGGAACCTTAGTGGTTAGTAGTAAACCACTATACTCCACTGTGGCGTGCTTGTAATTGTATTGCGAGTGTGGCCCTTCATTCCCCACAGATTATTTCATAACCATATGCTCAAACTGAAATTGACTATAGCTTTGGAAAGTCCTCAATAGCAAGTTCAACCCAGTTTCAAGTTTAATAAAGAATGGCTTCAATTTAGAATTGCTCTTAACTGAGTTGCACGCAAAACATTGAAGTACAAAGGAAGACACCTGAACACAGCGCACTGTGCTTCTTTAGAATTGCCGGTTTACATAGGTTTGTTCGCATGTGAGTTGACACTGTGGAGCCTGTGTCGACATATTTGTTATCATGCATATCACGCATTATGATGACTTCTGCCCTTTTGTTACTAATTGGTGATTAATCCCAATTTTTTTTTGTCAGTGGATCACCATGAGCAAGGCTAGTGATGATGGCCTTGAAGGCGCTTCTGGAGCAGTGCTTCAGCGTCCGTGTCACTCGTCAGGAGTTGGAGGCCCCAACGACAGCTGTGGTGATCCGTGTACTTCACGGAGCCTTTAGCATCTTCGGCTTGAATGAAGTGGCCTCTGGAAGTGCCTCGCTCGCTACTGCCCAGTGAGGCCATGCACATTGAGGGCTCGATACCTATAGGCCACTACTTGAAGCTGATGCAAGTTGTTCTTGGAATTGTGGGCGTTAACGATGTGGGCCTGCAGGACCTGACCAATCCAAAGCCGCGACGCACTCGTCGGCTTTTGAAGATTCTCGTCAACAAATTGCTCCAGGCAACTGCAGTCTTCAGCAAGTACACGGTTAGCTACACCCTCTTCCCTACTGTTTACCTCTCAGCTTTGTTGAATACATTGGGAGAGCGTTGTCAGTGTAGAATGCAATGCCATAACAGAACATCATGAAGCAGCTGTTTGACTAAAGATATTTTGTTCAAAGGCATATAGTAGGGTAAACAGGTTGTCCTGGATATTGTATTTTAGGATCTGTGCCAAATTTCGATGTGAAACGTTGCGTGCTTTATAAGAGAGCTAAGTGTCCTTCAGTCTGTTAAATTTTGACCCTGCAGCTTTTCTTGCTTGCTTTTGGGGGAGTTCCAAAATTTAGACTGGTGTACAAAATTAAATGTGCCTTTTCTCTAAACCCAAAAACAGTATGCTCAGGATATTTGGCACAATAATTCAACATAATGTTGGTATTACTTCAAACCCATAAAAACGGCCATTTATATTTATCTCGCAAGAAAAAAAAAATATTGTCCTCGCATGTCATGTGCCGGGATAGAAGCTTTGTATTTAATCTTTCTTATCTGAACTATACCCACACAAATTTGAGGCACAATCGGTTGGATAGATTTTCAAGATAGGTACATCAAGTTCGGAACATTTTTAGAAAACTGATTGTGATAAAAACTCACCTTTATGTTTTGAAATACCCATGAAACATGTTCACAAATTACACAATATAATTACGCTAGAAATTCATATCGGTGGGAATATTTGTGGTATGACAATGGTAGAAAGTGAATATTTTCAACCAATTTAGCCATAGTTATGGTATATAAAATGAATACATGCAGAGGACAATGGTGGAAATAGCCCGTGTATCTGTTAGGAGACGGGGTTTTTGGCGCCATTTTTAAACAGCCTGGAGCACATCGGAGCACTCCAACACATTCATCAGTGCTGCATAGTTTCGCTTCTCAAAGTGTGTCTTATTTTTTAGTGGTATAATAAAAAAATAGCTTTTTTGGTTTATCTAACATACCATATTTCCTGAATACTGGCTTGAAGCTAATATTTGTAATGAATTTAATACAGCATATCTTTCTGTGTTTTTATCCACGTTAGGTGTATGACTGTAGTCACAACCATAAGTTCGGAGACCTTGGTACTAGCAAACAAGAAGAATTTTGCCTAGCTCACTTCAACAGCGTCATATGAAGAGCCACACTTCGGCAAAGCCGCTTTATTTCGACCAACATACTTGGGCTGCAGCCTAAGAAAGTCTTTTATTTTTTTCTGCGACAGCTATTGCTCTCCAAACTTTGTGACTACATGCACTCAAACGCATGGTCTAGCTGACCGGAGTTGGTGCTTTGGGTATGGCAGTTTTTCAAACTTTTCAAATGAACAATGTTCCTTTTGAACAATGCTAAAGGAAAGACAAGTTCTGCCAGCAGGCAAGTCTAAACCCTGGCGGTCTTGTTGTATTTGTTTTAAAGGGAGATGAGCGTAGGTTTCTCACGTGAGGGAACTGCCAGCATTCGTTTACCTGCCTCGTAAGTGTCTGAATTAGCGGTGCTGTGGTTTGCACAACAAGGCTGTTGCTAAACCTTCCTCAATCTCGTTATTGATTTCTAGGCAAAGATTCAAAAGCAGCAGGCTGCCAAAGCCAAGGGAGAAGACGCCCTAGCCGAGCTCAATGCAATGACTGCCAAGGCCAACCGGATGGCAACTCTCCTTCACTGACGTCGGTGAACAGGACGAGGCAGTCGCTAGTGAGCTTTCGGCCTGTAAGAAGACACTGGCTGCCTACGCCGAGGAGAAGGCGGTCATTGTGTCGGACTACCAACAGCTCAAGACGACCCTGTGCGACTCCGCTGAGGCAGTAGAGAAGGCAAAGTTGCAGATTATGGAACTCAAGGAAGCTCTGGAAGAGAAGCGTGCCGCAGTTTGCAGGTTGGCTCAAATATACTGCATGTGCAAGCTTGGGTTTACTCTGCAGTTATTGAAGCACCACCTGTAATTGGGCGTTGGTACTGCGAAAGGCTGTAGATATTTTGGGTAAAGCATTCACGGCAATGTACTTCAGTTACTATGACCACTTGGATTGTAATAGATTAATAGATTGATCACACGTATCAACCATAAAGGTTTGTTGCAATTGTTGCAATTTAAGTAGTAATAGATTGGTTCTTAGTCCCAAGCTGTAATGAAACATAAGTGCCCATCTGTTACTGGATGCAGTCTTGTAAATTTCTGTAGCCGCATGTGTGACAAAAGATGAAGAAATGCATGCAACAATTTTCAGCAACCAAAGTCGGGCACTGCATTCAAGAGCGTGCTTTTAGAACCTGCTTTTCATTATTCTTTTTTTTTTACCCAGAAATAAGTTCAGGAAGTCAGTTTTGTTGCTACAGAACAGACAAAATATAATTATTTAATTAAATCACTGTATCATCATCACTTTCAGTGTATTTTTTTTTGCTTCTGTAGACAGTTTTTATTTAAAAAAATTTTCTTTGAACTTGTGGCTTAGGCACTCGGCTGCTGACCCGCAGGTCGCGTGATCAAATCCCGGCTGCGGCGGCTGCATTCGCGATAGAAGCGAAAATGCCGTATGCCTGTGTGCTCAGATTTTGGTGCAAGTTAGAGGTGCTCGAAATTTCCGCAGACCTTCACTATGTGTCCCTCGTAATCATATGGTAGTTTTGGAATACTAAACTTCACATATTATTATTATTTAAGCTTGCACTGACAAGATCGCAGAACTAATAGCACTAGATGGGGATGTGGTGACGAAAACTTTCATCACCACATTGCCACAATCTATTGCAATAAATTGATAAAATTAGTCGTGCATATGTGATTTCTTGTGCTTATATGATAGCTGAAATAGATTTTGAGCACTTTATTTGATTTTGAGCATTTTATTTTCAATTTGTCTCACTTGATGGACTCTTGCTGACTTAATTAGGCACAATTTTGGCGATTTTTACACAAGAATATTCACAATGGCCCGTTATGTGCAACGAAGCTATTTGCTTATGTTTTTAATGTTTAAATAGCCACAACAAAATGTTTGGAACATCTTTGCGACTTTTGCAAAAGACCAAATATAAAGATTTTTTTTATGCACAGAAGAGAAATTGAAAGCTTTGTCACACTCTTCAATCTTTCTGGATTTAACTGCAAGAAGGAAAAAAATTGTATTTTGTTTTCATTTGTTGTGAAATCGCTCTAAGTTGACTGGTAGCAACCGCACGAAAAAAAATTGTTGCAAAATTTTGCGCACAGCTAGCAAAGCGCAACTCTGAACTGAGCTGGCATTGCTTTTTATTTAAAAAATACTGAGGTGCGACCTCTCCTCTTTACAATGATGCCAAGATTACAGCGCAGCAACTAGACTTTTTTGTAGTTTTTGTACTGTACACTGGTAGGGTGCTGCTTTCTCAATTTCTGCTACATAATTTGCTTGTTCTACTATTTCATCATAATGTAATAGACACATCTAGGATAGCAAAAAAAATAATAAACATGAGAAATAGAAAGTTTTGACCAAATTTGTCATGCCATCAGTAAATGTGTGACCAACAAATTTGCCCTCCTGACTTCCCCATTAAGCAGCAGAGTACGCATCCCAACAAAATATCTGAAGGGGAAAAAAAGGTACTTGGCAGAGAGGCGAGAATGCCGGAAAGCTACAAGTCCTCTAACTGGAAGTTTAGGTGATGTTGACCAGTTAAAAGCAGTAGTCTAGTGTAGCACAGCTGCCAAAAATGTGGTGGTTGTGCCTCTGTTTGTACTGTCTGATCAAAACAGGGCTAAGAAATATGAAGTGTCTTTTCCCATTGCTTCATTCTAGGGATCCAGCTTCTTGGAAGGAAAATATTTCGGCGGATGTGGAAACTCTGGCTACCTTAGAATCCGAAATTGAGAAGCTGCGTTCTATTGTGTCGACTGTGAATGAAAAGGTCAGCCTGTCTCCTCGCATAAGTGAGGAGTATAGTAAATCTTTGGAAAGCTTGGCTGGGATGGAAGAACACGCTGCAGAGGTGGAGATGTTGCAGCAGACCAAAACGGCCCAGGAGAAAAAGCGGTAAGTACAGTTCTTGAATGTAGAAGCAGTAAAAGATGGTCGGGAAATAAATGGAGCCAGCTGAAGAATCTGTTGCTGGGCCTGTTGATACATACTTGAAGAAAAAAGAAAGGCTTATAGACACACATATACATGGGAAGATAACACACCCAGGCATGCTAAAACTAGCAACATGTTTAGTCCTGTTGCTAGTTCCAGCATGTGTCTGTTGCCGTCTCTTGTGCTCATGTTCATAAGCTTTTCTTTCTTTTTTATTCATTTCTTCAAATGGTGCTCGTGCTATGTCACGAGCCACGAAATGACAACGCACCTTAGTGAAAGGAATAGTGCAATGTTGTGGCATATGTGCATAGTTTAACATAGTCTACACCGTATCAACAAAAGATAAATGTTCGAGAGGGTATATACCAGAAAAAAAAGGGGGAAGGCTAGGCTGGTAAAGTGTGTGTCATTACACGTACAGAAATTGCCTTCATGGGCAAAACAGAAATGCTCATTTTGTGAATGGTTAAGGATGCTACAAGCATGCTAGCAATAGACTGCATTTGCCAGGTTGGCAAAGTGCCGCAGATGGTGTGAATGCTCTAATTTAGTCGCTAGTTGTTTGTGTCAAAAGCAAATTGGAGAAATTCGGAGCCAATGAAGATGGATGAGAAAAAGCGCACAAGTACAGCCTCACCCATTTCTGTGTATAGTGCGCAGAGCAGCCGACCTTGCTCTGCAGGATGACACCTTGTGGCAGTTGCATGGCTCTGACATGGTGTACCCAGGAGCACATGTGGCCTAATAGACATGCTGACTTTGTTTGCGCGAATGACAACATTGAAAGGTGTGCTTGCGTAACTAACCGAAGCTTCAGCCTACAATGGAACATTTCTACGAAGGCTCGTGTGCTTGAAATGTTGTCCTCTTTCCGAGGTTCTCCTCTTAGGCTTAGCTATGAACTTCTTGGAATCTACATCATTTCATGGTTAGTTGTCGTTCTTTGGAGAAAACGGCATTATTTTCAAGTACTATGGCCATCAAAACAGCAATGACCGTGTCCTTCAATGAGTAGAATTCCATAATGCCTTGTCATTCTTTAAACTAAATAAAGAAACACACAAATGGTTTATTTTTGTGAAACTCAAGGGTGGCCATAAGTATCTGTCTCCTAAAGAAGCGGGTCACCCAGTTTCGTTTCACACTTAAGTATCTTAGTCAAAAGCAAAACTTTCTTTTAACCACAAAGCGTTTTAACCACAAAGCTCCTTGTCAAAACATTTACTGTAGGCTAAAGCTTCTCCTGCCCCCCCCCCCCCCTCCATGTACTGCCCCCCGGGCCATTTGGGTATCCTAATAGTGAAATTGCTGACCACGCTTTGTACTGTTCATAAAGAAGGCTGTGCCAAAAAGCACAAGAACATGTTGTTCATTACTGCTGAGGGTAGGTAAAAGAAAAAAAAAAGCATCTGGGACTTCTTTCTGCTTACTTGTTGCCATTAGCATTTTTTTTCATAGTCTACTCTCAAACTTCATTATAATGAAGTTATATATTAAACAAAGTTTGTTATATTAAAAAGTTATTACAAACGTGAACTTCTAACATCATCGTTTGGCAAGACTATTCTTCCTTCACTTCATTATAACAGATATTATGTTTATCAGTGTTCGTTATGTTGAGGTTTGACTGTAATCGCACACCTCAGGAGGGCCAGACTTGCATACTTTGTGGCTAAATGGTCGGGCGCGTGTTATCATTCTAAATGTGTCATCTTTTTGGAATTGAGATGCTTCAAGAGCTATAGGGAGCACGCATTTTCGGCGAGTACACATTTCAACTTTGTCACTTGTGCAAAGCATGACTATTCGTTGGAGCCCTCAACTGCCGCACGGTGTTGCCCTGCAAAGCGAGGTAGGTTGCTCGCATGCTCTACAGAAACTTGGACGGGGCTGTACGATGTCCATATCACTGGCCTTTAATAAGACAGTAGTTGTAAAATTATGTATGTATCATATTTTCCCTTCTGGACAAGCAAACAAAAGCAATGCTTTGCTGGCATCAGATTTTTTTTCTTCACATATTTATGAATTCTGCAGATTTTTATGTTTTCTTTTTGTTATACTTTTTCATGCTTTGCTTATCACATCTTTGAGTTATCGTTACATCCAAAAAACAAAAAAAATGGGTATCACCTATATATATATATATATATATATATTGAAAGACGCAGGCAGACTAGGTACGGCGAGCAGGCAGGGCGAGCAGAAGCGTTTATTCTGCGATGTCTGGCTCGGCTCAGACCCACACCAAGAGAGAGAACGATGATGATGGGTATGTGCAAGTGAGAACGATGATGATGGGTATGTGCAAGTGAGAACGATCAAATGCTTGGAATGTGCTTACAATTTCCCCCCCCCTCTGCGAAGCGGCCAACCTGGCCGCCAGTCAGAGATCGGCCGAACGAGTAACAAAAGGCTTCATGCGTGAGACGTGAACTATTTCCGTGCTGCGCAGACGGCGGTCAGTGACAGACTGAAGCGGGGTGACGAGGTAGTTAACTGGAGATGTCTGTCGTACAACGGTGTATGGGCCAACATACCGGTGAAGAAATTTCTCGCAAAGGCCCGACGCTCGAACCGGGGTCCATAGTAAAACCTTATCGCCAGCATTAAAGGCCACGTCGCGTCGTTTTTTATCACAGCGATGTTTTCTCTCCTTTTGGGTTGCTTCCGTGTTTTTGCGAGCAATTTCACGGCATTGTGTGACTCGGGCTGCGAACTCTTCTGGGAGCGAGGTACTGCTTGGAGCCGGTGCAAAGAAAAATGCCGTGTCGAAGACCGAGGAGGCAGATCGGCCGTACACGAGAAAAAACGGGCTGTAGCCAGTTGATCGTTGTACCGCAGTATTGTATGCGAAGGTGACAAACGGTAAAATGTTATCCCAATTTTTGTGGTCAGGATGCAAGTACATCGATATCATGTCAGAGAGTGTTCGGTGGAAGCGCTCGGTAAGGCCATTCGTTTGCGGATGGTATGTAGAAGTGGTTTTATGCACTGTATTGCACGCCTGCAGGACTTCATCCAGGACCTTGGAAAGGAAGGCTTTGCCACGGTCACTCAAAAGGACGCGAGGGGCTCCGTGGCGCAAGACGATGGAGTTCAAGAAAAAATTGGCGATTTCTGTGGCGGTAGCAGAATGAAGAGGTGAAGTCTCGGCGTATCTTGTTTGATGGTCGACTGCAGTGACGATCCAACGGTGACCGGAAGGTGTCAACGGCAAAGGACCATACAAGTCTATTCCGACAAATTCGAATGGTGTGGTGGGACAGGGAAGAGGCTGAAGGAAACCAGCAGGCGGGGATGTGGATCGCTTGCGGTGCTGACACAACGCGCACGAGCCCACGTATTTGGCCACCGTTGTGGACAAGCCAGGCCAGAAGCAGCGCGTCTTGATGCGATCGTAGGTCTTGTGGAAGCCTAGATGACCGGCAGCAATATCATCGTGGAATGCTTCCAAAACTCGAAGACGAAGGCAGCGGGGAAGAACTGGCACCCACTTGTTACCGGTGGGATGGTAAATGTAGCGCTTAAGCACACCGTCCTGAAGGCGAAATTGTCGAAGCTGGCGTCGCAAGCGGCTGTTGGGTGGTTTAGTGACACCGCGAAGGCGATCAATGAAAGACCGACAGTAGGAATCTGCCAGCTGAAGTGAACGTAAATCGGAGTTCGAAGATAGCTGCATTGGATCCAGCGATGCGAGCGATACGTGTTGTGAGGCAAGCTGGGTGTCAGAGTCATTCGAACGCGATGCGGTGGACGTATTGTCACGAGAGAGCGAAAGTGGGCACCGGGACAGCGCGTCGGCATCATGATGACATTTGCCAGACTTGTACGTAACTGTAAAGTCGTACTCTTGTAAGCGCAGTATCCAGCGCGCAAGACGTCCTGACATATTCTTCATTGATGAAAGCCAACAGAGTGCGTGGTGGTCGGTGATGATGGTGAAGTGCCGACCGTAGAGATACGGGCGGAATTTCTGTATCGACCATACGATAGCCAAGCACTCCTGCTCCGTGATGGTGTAATTCCGCTCAGCTGTTGACAGAGTCCGGCTAGCGTAGGCCACAACCTGCTCTTTAGAGGTGGAATCACGCTGCAGAAGGACTGCTCCAATGCCTTGTGCGCTTGCGTCAGTATGGAGTATGGTAGGCGCTCTCTCATCGAAGTGGCGCAGCACTGGTCCGGAAGTCAGGCGTTCTTTCAAAATTTCAAATGCAGATTCGCAGTCGTTGGACCATGAGAAAGGAGCACCAGTGGCCAATAACTTATTTAGCGGAGCCGCTAAGGTAGCAAAGTTGCGTATAAAGCGACGAAAATAGGACGCGAGACCAAGAAAGCTGCGCAACGTCTTTTGGTTGGACGGTCGAGGGAACTGTAGCACAGCTGCGATCTTCTCGGGATCTGGTTGGATTCCGTCTTTGGAAACGACGTGACCGAGGACTTTGATGCTTTTGCTGGCAAATGTACACTTCTTTGTATTTATCTGAAGGCCAGCCTTGGAGAGACATTGTAGCACCTCGTCTAATCGTTGAAGATGTTGGGCAAAGGTACTTGAAAAAACAACGATATCATCTAAGTAACAGAGGCAGGTCTTCCATTTTAGGCCACGAAGAACAGTATCAATCATTCGCTCAAACGTGGCTGGAGCGTTGCACAAGCCGAATGGCATTACATTAAATTCATAAAGGCCGTCCGGTGTGGCAAATGCAGTTTTTTCTTTGTCAGCCTCGTTCATGGGGATTTGCCAGTAACCTGATCGTAAGTCAAGGCTCGAAAAATAGTTCGCCCCTTGCAGTGTGTCTAAAGCGTCATCAATTCTAGGCATAGGATATACGTCCTTGCGTGTGATCTTATTTAACGCGCGGTAGTCAATGCAAAAACGAACAGAGCCATCCTTCTTTTTAACTAAAACGACTGGAGATGCCCAGGAACTCGAAGAAGGTCGTATTATATTTCGC